ACCTGACCTACATCAAAATCACACCCTTGATAATCATCAATGACACCAGTAATTCACCAGTAATGTGAGCAAATTTTTAAAGATGTTAGTTATATAATTAACCATGTGTACCTGCAGAGAAAGCCGTCAAACTTCACGAGGGTACAGAAAGGGCTAATTCCAGGAACGGCTGTACCAGGTGTTTGTTTCTGCCCTCACTAGGAACCCAGTTAGCTCTGTGGTCAGCCTTACCTTTTCCCAGGCCTCACATCACTGAAATCCCAGCTAAGGAGTAAATTGGGATTTGCCATGCATGAAGGCTGGCACTTTGCTGTGCTTAGGTGCTACCTGTCAATGCTCCTGGGTGACATGTAGCCAAACCAACATCAACACTTCAGCTTAAAGATAATGCTTAAACTCCTACCCTCTAATAAACCACCCCCACTCAAGTATAGCAGTACTTAACATCAACTGCACAAAAAAAGAATTCACTCTAGGCTAACCACTGTGAAGGACCCTAAATCAATGAGGTAGCTCTGCTTAGATCTTCCTTTTAGTAAGATGCCTGAAGAAAGAACTAAGGGTTTTAGATTAAAAAAGGAAAATTATACCACAGTAACATACAGTATACCTAATTTTTAGTAGTAGATAAAGTTCATATTGATTATGCCAGAACAAATCATGCAGCTTTCCTCATGTGCAGAGTCATTAGAACTGGGAACCATTCCCTAGGCTTGGTTTTAAGTAATTGGGCCATTTCCTGGGCTGCAGTAAACTTCACCCAGTGCCCGACAGACCCGAGGAAGGGTCTTTTCCATCACTTTTAAAGGCTGGCTTTCTGCTGATTCAACTATCTTCACTCCCTGCTTGCCTCCAAGAATCTGCCCTTCAGGAAAAAGGCTAATTATCCCTACTTCTTGGAGAGTCCTATAACTCAACTCACATTATTTAAAGAAATTCTGCATAAAATCAGGAACAAACAAATCAGGCAAGATTTTTACATTGCCTGATGTAAAGGGTAAAGGTGTAGGAGATATTTGCTTATGCCACAGACAAACCAAGTGAGCACACCATAGGCTAAAATTTGAATTTGTCACATAAGCCTGAGGAATAGCACATTCAGTTTGTTTTCATGGTTGGGAGAACAGCACTGATCTTAAACTGCTTTTATATTTCACTTGAGCAGCTGAAGGTAGAAATAAGAAACAGCCCAACTTTTCATAATGGATGCTATAAACAAGGCTATAAAAGTCAGAAAACAGTTACTCAGGCATTGAAATATTAATAATAGGCAACAATAATTTTAAAGAAAAGAATTTTCCATGTCCAAGATCCCTTCAGGCTATAACTCTGAGAAAGACAAGGTGGAGGTGCAGGCATGGTGCTTGCTGCTGAGCCCCAGGATGAGGACCAGTGTAAGTGATGGAAAAATCAGGGCTCAAGGAGTGACTAGTATCCCAGAGGACACTCAGGCTCCTGAAGAAGCAGCAGAACAATTCCAGTTTCCAGACCAGAGCTGAACATTTTCATCTACAAGAGGGTAAATACCTCATAGCAGTAGTAGATTTTCCTATTAGTGCTAACAGAGGAAATTGCAATTTTTGTTCTTGATTTTTCACTGTCTTTTAAATACACTCCTCCTGCTCCCATGCCAGTCCTTCAGTTGCCCCACAGCCACAATGATTTTTGGCTGTCAGCAAATCAAAGTCAGTGTGTGAAGAAAAAAGGAATGTTATTTCTTCTGATTCATTTACTTGTCTGAGTTGAGACTGTTTTTCAAATAATTTGACTTTGACAAACAGATGCTGTGTACTCAGAACTGTAAAGTGGTTCAGTAAAGACAGGAAAGAAGATCTTGCCCTTTCTGAAGGAAGAGGTAAGAGCAGTGTTCCTTTTGATAGTAAAAGGGTTTAAAATCATGGGGATTTAGGGTTAAAAGGAAAATTAAGCTTAGTAGGCCCTGAAAAGAAAATAAATACCCTGAGTACAGGAAGACTGTACCTTACTAGAACTGCACCTGTGTAGCTAGTACATGATAAATGATATAATTGTTAGATGTGATGATTGTTTAGTAATTAAATAGAATTACTGTTTAATCGTAAGAATAATCATGAGAAACTGTGGTCAGGGACCTAAGAAAGATCACGAGAAACTCATGTCAATGTATACAATAGAACAATATAAGTTTAATAATTAATATGTAAGTTATATAACGATAGAATATAAAATATAGTCAGCTCGAAAGCCATGTTGGAGTCAGATTTGGGTCTGGACCCCTGATTCCCAGAGCTCTTAATAAAAGCACCTGCATATGATCATATCCCGTGATTATGTGTGTCCCTGAACACTAACACTTTCTGCCAGTGCTTTGATTAAAAGAAAGGAAGTAGTCTTAGCAAACTAGAACTGGAACTTCTTCATATCCTCTTAACAAGGAGACTCCTGAATGGTTTATGACACCAAAATCACCATATATTTTACTGAAATAAACCACAGAATGTTGTAAAGCAGCTTTATAATGTGAAAATGTAGAGGTTTAGACTATTGCTACTGGCTAAAATGTATTAGTTTAAGTAGACTTAATAACAGTTTCACAGAAAGTATATATAGTTAAAAGATTTATTTGATAGAGCCTCTTTTTCTTGAAATATACAAACTTTGAAAATTATTGCTTTGACTATAATAGATTGGTTTTCTATGTTAATTAATTACTATTTCACATACTGAAATACAGTGCTGAATCTTATTAACAAGGTGACTTTACACACCATTCATTTAAAATAGTTTGAGGTGATCAAAACAAATGTACCAAATGATAAGCTTTGTCAAAAGCACTATTTTGAAATCTTGTTTCACACAATCATTAAAAGTTTATCTTTTTGCCTGACACACGATAGTTTATCAGAATCTTCAGCACACTGTATTACTAAATTTTAGCATTTTCATGAGGTGGAAAATTTGTTTCTACTTTTGAGGAGCTCAAATTCTCTCACTATGAAAAGAGCAATAACCTAATATTGCAGTAAATATTAATGGCAGCTATAGGTATGATTTCAGTAGTGTAAATCACGTGTTTCACCAAAAAGGAAGAAGACTTTTATCCTGAATTGTTATTAATTAAGCCACCAAATTATCCCAGGCAAAAATAAAAATGTTTGAAAACAATCACCACTTTTTATTTTTTTTAACAGCTTAAATATGAAATATAGTCTGCAGCCGGATTGTATTCAGAGCCTATATGAGCCTAATTCCTTCTCTTCCCAATTTGAGACAAGGAGACAGAGGTGCAGAGGGAGCAAGATTATTGTTGTTGTTCTCAGCTGCCTTGGGGGCAGATGAACCCCACGGATGCAGGGCTGTGGCAAAGCTGGCACAGCTTTTGCTTAGGCAGGGGTTGTTCCACAGAACAAGCTGTGGAACTGTGAACTGCTCCACGGGCCCCCAGACATGGCACTTGCAGCATGATTAACATGAGATTCGGGTGAGGGCTGAAGGGAGTGGATTCCCAGCAATACGAAGACTTCTAGGACAAAAAACCCCAAAACACTAAAGATTGCTTTTAGAGAGTAACAAAAACACTAAGTGTGGATGAAAGAAGATAAGGGGCAGAAGTAATATGATAATGCACAAAAACATTTATGTTGACCTATGCAGAAGAACCTTGTATAAATATGAAGTAAGGGATTACAATGAATTTTTTTAGCACAGCTACAGAGAAAGGGTGATTTTTCAGAAGGCAGTACTCCATGATTATTCACAGCCTCTATGGCATTTGCTCATGTCTGGAAAGAACTAAATTTACAATGACATTTGCATTTTCTAACTCTGGAACTTTGATCTAAAAGTACTGCACCAATATTGCATAACAAAAAAATGAACACATGCGAACACCAGCTAGACAAGAAACAGTCTATTCTTTTCCAAGTATATGGGATTAGTGCAATGCTGACCAGCTTATCACACCTCCAATAATTATTAATATTGTCAACTAACTAAATTTTGTTTTTAGGGTTAGTGCAGCTTCATTTCTGCATGTTGTCATCAAAGTAAAGATTAGATCTTTACCCCACTCATAATCTAACAGCTGAATTTGCTTCAAGTACTATTTACACTGAACAGCCCTGCCATGAATAAGATGTCCAAATTTTGCAAATAAGCAGAGATCAAATTGGTAAACAAGGTGATAATGGAGGAAGTGAGACTACGTGAAAGAGTGGGGAAGATATACAGTATACGTTAAAGCATTTTCCCCCCCTAATTATAGTTTCCTTCAATTCATTATTTAAGTGGAAAAAAGACAGTGTAAATAGAAAATCAACATGGAAGGGTAATGGAGACAAATTTATAAAAACAGACAAGCAGAGAAAAAGGAGTACTTCAGGTATAAGGCAGAAAACAGAGAAATAAATAGGTGTAGGGACTAGGTAAAAAGAATGAGAAGAACTGGATTATAAAGGGTAGAAAACAAAGAAAGGTAATATTTAAGCAAATCCCCATATGGCTCAGGAGTTTGGACTTTTGGATTTATTTTACTCTCACTTTTACCACTGGTGTACAGCAGTGGTAAAAGTGAGTGGGTGAATCAAGTAAACTACTGGAATTGCTGGTGAGATACATCCAGCATGAAGAGCCCAGGACTGGGCCATGAGTTGTAAAAGAAATATAAGGCAGGGACTGAAAAGAGATAGCTGGAGTTCTTTAGTATCTAGATAGTTTGCTTAAGGCTGGAAAACAAGGGAAACAACCAAAAGAAGTGAAAACAAAAGATAAAGAAAACGGTCTTTCACACTGAATAGACAAACTGTAGCCAATATTTCTTCAGGTGACAAAAATGCAAAGCCACTGTTAATATCCTGTCCATTTCATCCTTGGGCTTGATTCATTGGCAATTCTGGATTTACACCTGATTTAATACCATCAATCTTTTAGCAGTTTATTGCCTATACAATCAGTGAGACAAGCAAGATTCTTTCTTGCCCTGAACTCCTGATAGTGTTGTCTGTTAGCTGGTGTGATTTTACCTTGCCAGCAAGCCCCCACTGTGAGCTGCATGGCGATGTGGGAGGGGTGGATGGGCCAGTCGTTGGTCACCAGATACGGCTCGTACGTTGTCCCGTCCATGTACAGCGTCACCACGGGGAACTCCACGTTGACCACGTAGTAGTGCCACTCCTTGTCACAGATCTGGGAGACAGAGCAAAGTATTAGTTAGCTCTTACAGTGACTGACTTTTTATGTCCTATATGGTTTTTAAATTGTGTTTCCAAATTTCAGTTATGGCAAATAATGTTACTGTAATTTCTATGTCTCTAACATTAATGAAAGACAAAACAATGTTGATAAATACTCTTGGCAAAATATATATTTGCAAAATAAATGTGATAAATAGAGGATTCTTAAAACACACTCTGAAAACAAGACATGGATAGGAATTAGAAAAATCAGATAATTTGGTATTAAATCTGTATTTTCATATTTCCTAATACATAATTGTCTTAGGTTGCAAAAGCAAGATGTGGCTGGGGGTATGTATTCTATTGCCATTGGTTAGAGGTGGGGCAGTTTCCTTTATCTCTTCCACAACCAATCCTCCCTCCAAGAGATATCTTCTGTTAGTGGGCCATTGAGTGTCACTGCATGGCTGATAAAATTCCATCATCCCCTTGGGAGATGCTCTGCCTAGGGGGAGGAGCCAAGAATTCCTACCTGAATATAATAGTAGATTTTGGAACACCACAGTCAGCCTTTTCCCACTGGATTCCAGAGGAGCAGCTATCTTTTCCGCCGGATTTCCAGAGAAAGACCAGGCCCATCTACACCACCACTAGACCTTCAGAGGAAAACTCCACCCTTTTACCGGATGACTGCTTCAACAAAAACACACCTGCAGGAGGACTGTAGCCACCATTTAATGGGACTAATGCCACCACACTGACCCACAGGCTGTCAGGTTGGATTCTGACTCTGTCAGTGTTGTTTTGTATTACTACATTTTAATTTTTATTTTTTCCTAATAAAGAACTATTAATCCTATTCCCATCTCTTTGCCTGGGAGCCCCTTAATTTCAAAATTATAATAATTCAGAGAGAGGGGGCTTACATTTTCCATTTCAAGAGAGGCTCCTGCCTTCTTTAGCAGACATCTGTCTTTTCAAATTAAGACAATAATATTAGTTTCTTAATGCTTGTATCTAGTTTCTGTTGAAAACAGAATACTTCATGTAAGATACACAGAGGGTGTACTGGCATAGTTACTGAGCATCCCTATTATGTTCAGATTAAGAAAATGTACAGCCCTTAGTCATTGGACTGATGAGTTATTACCAATGATTGCCATTATTACTTATCCCATCAGTACTTAGAAAGTCCTGTGCAACCTGCCAGGACCTTGACAGTGCTAAAAGGACCTGGGCCATGCTCTGTGCAACACAGAGGGACCAGCAGTCTGCAGGCTTGGGCAGGGGACTCACCTCTTCTCCACCCTTCGTCTTTTGGCATTGAGCTTTTTCCCAGATAGTGGGAAAATGAGCGTCTTTATGACTTCGCTGATACCCACGAGCTTTGAAAAGCAACGGCCACAGTTACAACATACTTTCAGGATGACAACATTAGTGTCAAATCACATATGAATTTCTGAGCTGGACAACCAGGGATTACTGCAGGATGACCAAATTCAGCTTTAGTTTGGAAATGTACAGGTGGCTGAACCCATGCCTCTTGAGACAGAAGTCTGGTGTGCAAATATCAATGTCTGCCCAATTATTTTTTTCTGTTGTTGTATCTTTCAGTTAAAAAGTTCAAATGAATAAATCACAGCAAACTGGTAGGATGAGTGCATTTTTTAAAAAACAAAAGAATAGTTACAACAATGGTACTTTTTGTTCTGGGGAGATCCTTGTTTTGATGCATTAAGAAATGGAAGTGCTTGAATGCAGGTATGCATGCTGTTTCACAGAAGCAAGCAGAAAGTGATGTTTTAACATAACACTTTGTCCTTGGCCAGGTGATCTGGGGCAATATCTGCCCTTTGAAAGCGAAAGCTAATGTTTTGTTCCAGAAGACATTTCAACAAGAACTTAATTACTTCTATTTCAAATGGATATATTTCTTACTGCAGACATTGTGGCTCCACAGCAAGAGATAAATGCAGCAAGGGGCTGCTGGAGGGAGCAGCAGATAGCACAAATGTTTTCTGAAGGTTAAACGAGCTGAAACCAAAACTGAAAGTAAATAAATTGGAAGACTGAACACGTTATTGAACAAACACCAACCACCAACAGCATTATGCAGTCCTGCCTTTCAAGGATAAACAGTTTGCCAAGCCCCTGCCCTCATCACAGCCACATGCAGCTGGCATTTCATAGAAAACAAAACCTGGTTTTGAGAGACCTTGCATGGCCAAATCTACAGGATGGATATCTGACACTTTGTGGAGAACTGTTCCACACTGTTTCTGTTTTGCAACCCTGAACTGCATCATGTGGGATGCCCTAGGTGCACCCCAATGAGTGAGTAATCCTCATGTTTAACTAAAGCAAGAACACTTTGATAGAGCAAACCAAAACATTTTGGGGCATGACACACACAGAGCACAACAATGTGTAGCCAGTGTAATTACTCCATTAGGTAGTTACATTTTTCAAAGAAAATGCTTCCTGAAAACACAACATTTCATAAATTCCACAATTCAAGACTCCTGCAACTGGACTCAAGTGTTTCCAAGAAAAATACTGAAAATTCAGATGTCCAGCTGTGGATAGCCACACAAAGTACTCAGTAACTTTTTTTTTCTTATACATTCTGAAACATATGACAATGCAAGTGCAGACAGCGTGGTGATGTCCTCAAACCCTCACTTACCACCATTTCCTTAAATTTTGACACATAAACACATCAAATGTTGTTTTGAAGGATGAGACTTACAGTCTCGTTTTGGTTGTTCCTGAGATTTAAACAGTACTTGTTGGTTATCTTAATTGTCACCGAATTTCAATTCAGCTTAGTGACACAGACACACGTCTATTCCTCTAAACCATATTTCAGTATCTGTACTGGGCCCCAGTGTAAAAACAAATAAGTTTTTACTTATTTGTACAAAGAAACAAAAAATTACTTCCAACCTCTGGAACACATCCCAGTGATTCAGCAGCAGGTAGTACTTCATGGCTGGCCATTTCACAAGCAACAAAATAATGAAATAAAAATTGTGGTACGTCATTTGTTATGCTGTTGTTTCAGACACCTTCTTTGCCTTCTTAAGACAGGAAGCCAGTTTTTTCCCTGCATGTATTTCACTGTGGCAATGGAATGTAATATGAAGCAGTGAAGCCAGGAAAATAAAATTATAAAATCTACTACACTGGTAAATAAAGAAATTTCAATGCTGTCAAGTTGGAAATTTATTTTTAAAATCTAATTTATAAAGCTATCATAATGAGATAAAATCACAGATGAGTGAGTTGGGCTTTCCAAAACTGGTGGATATCTTGGTATAATCACTCTATCAATGCCAGTCTGCCTCTAAAATGTGTTTATCAAATCACAGTGAACGAAGCAGCCTGAAGTTCTAGTGCTGATTACAAGCCATTGCATTGGAATATGCTTTTATGAAATAGCTGAAAACAGCCTCCATATAAATCTTATGGAATATGTGACCTAGGCTCTTGGCATCTTCTAATGAAAAACATCAGATTTTTGTGCTTTATATTGGAATACTCAGGAAAAGACTGAAACCAAAGTTCTTGGTCTGAGAAGCATGTAATGCTTGGAATCAGACATTGGTGGTCAGCAAAATGCCCCATTTTTCAGCTTTGTCCAACAGGCCTGGCATGCACCTGGGAGAATCTAGAATTTCCAGCTCTTGGAGCCTCCCTTGGGTCAGCTGGGGCCACTCTTGGAATTAGGGTCATTGACCTGCTTGATTGCAACACCAAGGCAGCCTGTGCTCCCCCAAGTGGCTAGTGAAGAGCTAGTCATGCTCACCGTGAGCCTCTGCTGAGCTCCTGCACATCCCTCTGGTGCCCCTCAGCAGCCTGGAGAGCCCAAGCATGAAAACAGCTCTGCACAGCCCAGTCTGGCCACCCCAGGGAGCCTGAGCAGGAAAACAGGTCTGCATATCCCCTTGCTGCTCAGAGCACACCTGAGAGTGTCCCTTCAGGGCTTGGAGAGGCATGCGTGGCTTCCATCTTCTGCTTCCTGTGACTTTGCTGAGGAAGTGCTCTCAGAACATATTCAAACATCCTCAACAAAAGCAGAAAGAAGGAAAGGAAAGAAAGTGCTCTGCTCACTGCAAATAGCACCACTTACTGCAGCTATGAGACAAAAATCCTTTTGACCCAAGTGGTCTGAACCACTCATTCAGTTGACAAAAGTGGTCTGACTGAACCACTTGTTTGCAGAAAGCATCTTAACCTCTATCCTTAGCTGTAATTAATTAGAGCACATTTAAAACATTGTGCCTGCTTTGGGACCCTAAATACAAGGAGTATTTCCATAAACTGGAGTGAATTCAGTGGAGAACCAGCAGAAGTGCCAGCTCTGGCTATGTGAGGAGAGGCTGAGGGAATTGGGCTTGTTTGGCCTGGGGGGAGGCAGCCTTAGGGAAAAACAGCAGACCTGCAGTGCTAAGGGAAAAGTGACAATGGACAGGCTTTTCAAAGTGGACAACTCTGCATTTTTATATCCCCTCACTGAAGTAGGCAAAAAATACAGGGAATCTTAATGGCATTGGCATTATTCCCTCAGCCACAGTCCCCTGGTCAACCCTCCTGCCTTGTTCTGAAAGCAGCCAAATGCTTTGTGGGTCTGTTTCAGTTAAGGCCCCCATTACCCCAGTTCAGAGCACTGAAAATAGATGACAATTGGATGGAGAGAGGGGTATTGATTTCAGTTTAAAAAACACCACATTTTTCTCTCCATCTCCAAAAAAAATCCTTCTGAAAGAGCTTTTTGAAAAATTACAAGGTGTGGAATTGCTCTTTTTCTGTTGATTCCAATAATTTTGATAGGTTTTTTATATATTTTTTAAATATTTATAAATATTTTTATTATGTATTTTGAACATATTTTTATAGTATTGAGAGAAAACACTGCACTGTTTACAAATAGGGAGCTAAAAGGAAAGTTCTGGAAGACTGTTTCATTAAACTTTGAATCGGGAACTAAGCAATAATGCCCCGCAACAA